CGTTTTAGTAGTAACCGCAACCCCATTTCTGTTGTATTGCGGCCCTGGTCACTTCGATGCCTTCTGCAGTGAAGGCACCGTTCAGCTCTCTCCAGCTTGTTTGTCGCTGTATGTTGATGGGTGGAATTTTTTCCACCCTTTCAGGGATTGGGGAGTCGGTCTCCATCCCCGTTACCTCAATTATGATAGTTTCCTCCTCACCCTCGCTTTCGTCTCTGCGCCTTTTTCTGCTCTCTGGAGCAGGAAGGGCGCTGGACGGGCCTGCGGTGGCTGGTGGGGGATTGTGAGGTGCTGGCTTTTTGGGGGCAACCTTCGGGGGAACCTGTACTGTTTTGGGTGCCACTGTCTTGCGGGGCGCCGAGGGTTTCGGTGCCCCCTTGACAGCCGCACTAAATCTGTCAGGTTTCTTAGCCGGTTTTGGGGGCTCAAGTCTGCCGGGCAGCATCGCGGTTAGTTGCCTGAGATTGGCCTCTCAGCGTATATCCTTCCGGAGCTCCTCGTTCTCCTGCTGCAACCTTTCCATGGCGGTTTTAGGCGCCATTCTGGTTGCACTTTCAGAACTAAACGAAAAAAAACAAAAAAAACCTTAACACGCACGTGGATTTAAAAAAAAATGCACGTGGTGGTTGCTTGGTGTGTGGGTTTCGGCTCTCGCAGCGGGTGGGCTTGCGTTTACGCTTTCACTCGACTAACCAGCTCGGGTGCTCGATTGAGCTAAATTATGAAATAAGCCACTGTAGGAAAATATTCTGTGGAGGAATGCGATAACGCAAGTCAAATGTCAAATAAATCTTCCCTATTGTTGTTTATGGGTTTGTCATGGACCACAGATTACAGATTACCTCTGTGATCATAGATAAAGACGAGTATGATGTAAGACGAGTCTGTGATCTGTGGTCATGGACAATATGTCTGTCGATGTTGATTATTCGCTATCATCCAAAGAAAAAGCCCATGCCGATTTTATTCATTTCTGACGATATAATCTGTGATAAGTTGTATGATTTCGTGCCTCATGCTTCCTGCACATCCTGGATTGTGATATGTTCCCCCATGTTCTCCAATTCGTAATTTGTGAATGTTTTGTTAGGTAAGTCGAAATCACTTAGCTTATTCTTCAGGTGGCATTTTCATCAAGAAACAAACAAATGGAAAACAAGATATTTTTCTCATTAGAGCTAGTTCATAGCATCGGGTTGCTTACCGCTGAAACCGGTACTTAATACATCTGTATTATGTAGAATTACAGATTAATATTTAAACAGAAACCTCTGTTCAAAATGAATAATGATATTTTCATATTTTCAGATTATCTTTTTCCTTATCTGTTTTCATAAATCGTCAATAATCTGCGAAGATGGTAGCTGTTTATTGGTGTCTTGAAGGCTGTTAGAAAATGCACGGCTTCCTATCACAAAAGGAGTATGTTTTAAAGTTTTTCCTAAAAATGCTCCAAAGATTTTTTTTTATCTGTAAAATGTATTTATATAAACAATAAACAACAAGTAATATATATAATTATACGTATTTTTGTGTAGTTGTGTCATTTATCCCTATTATCAGCTGCCCCTTGCGGCTCAATTAAAAATAAGCAAGTGTAGTGGGTTCATAATGCAGGTTTGTTTGAATTTTTTAATTCTCAGCCACCAGGGCGCGCCACTTTAGCGACACACTTTCTATAAGATTAAGAGTCGTTTCTATATAAACCTTGTTCTATGGCTCAGTTCGTGTTTGATACTTGTCTTTATCTATGTTTGATCCTCTCTTGAGGTGGAGGGCTGATTTTTGACAATGGTGACATCTTTATGGTCCTAACAGGGCTCTTCGCTCTAACCTTTTCTTAGATAGTTCAAACAATTTCCAATTTAGTGCTTTATTTATTAATAGGATCAAGAAGTCTGTCGCTGTATTGATTCTTTAGATTTGAACCAAAAGCTAGAAGCGGTTTAGAAATAATTGATCAATTTGGCACTATAACATTTCCTGTGTTCGCGCCTCCCAACGTTGCCACATTGGAGCGCCTGTCGGATTTAAGACATTTTTGATAGACGTGAAGTGACAAGTGAAATTTTGAACACATGTAACAAACAATCACTAAAATATTGTAATATGAAAAATTTGTAAAACAATCAAAATTTTAAAAAAGCGAATCAAAAAACCTCATGGTTTTATAACCCAAATTACATGGTCTTTCGAGTCAAATTCAGTATCACAGTGCAACTAGAAGTGGAAGTCCGAGTTTCTGTGCAAGGCAATTCCCACAGAAACTAGGTGAAGAAACACGGCACAGTCCAAAAAAGCAACATCAGATCAGAAACTTAATTAGTTTCATTAATTGACCTTAATTAGGTCAGTGCGTTCCATTTGTACTTATTCCTATTTGCATCAAACCTTAATTTAACTCCAAGCTTGCTTCTATTCTCAACAATTTACTTTCCTTTGCATTACATTTATTAAACAATATCGAAATAATTCGTCTATAAGTGTCTAAAATCACTACGAAACATGCCTGATACCGATCTAAATACGCTAAAAAATGATAAAAGAAATTTAAAATCTGTCTTAACTCGATTCAAGAACTTTGTTGACAATTTTAACGTGCAAGTACAGACTTGCAAGGAACTTGAGTTAAGAATCAATAGAATTGAGCCTATATTGTTGTGTATATAAGTTCTAAAACAGCCAATCGACTCCTGGGATGCTCTTGTTATTCACATTATTTCATTAAAATTCGATAGTGTAACCCGCAAAGAATGGGAAACTGAGTATTCCAAGCCAAATATGAGTGACCTTAAAGTGTTTACAGCCTTTTTACAAGAAAAATCCAGACTTCTAGAAACGCTTTCCATGAATAATCCTTCAAATGTTCTATCAAAAGGTACATTCTTTTGTAGCTTCCAATAGTCCTATATGTTCATTTTGAAACAAAGAACATACGGTTTACAATTGCAAAGTCTTTTTGGAGTTAAATGTAAATAAAAGGCTTTATGAAGCGAAAAGGGGTGGTGCTTGAATTGCTTGAGAACCAATCATCGAACTGAGCAGTGTCGCTTTTCCCCGTGTCGTAAGTGTTCAAAAAAGCACAATACATTACTCCACAACAACACCTTTTTTCAAGAACAATCGTCAAATAATGCATCAATGAGTTATCCTCAGGCAGCAATCAATGATAACCAATCTTCAAGAGCACAATCAGTGAGCAATGACAATAAGCTTAATTCCGATTTTACTTACTCATATCATTGCTATTACGGCACTCCTCGTGTATTGCTGTCTACCGCAATTGTAGATGTTTTAGATTCCGATGGTAACATGCATTCCTGCAGGGTAATGCTGGACAGTGGAAGTGAATCTAGCTTTATTACTGAGCAAATGTTCAATAAATTAAACTTGTGCACTACTAGCACGAACATATCTGTATCTGGAATATGTCTAGTTACTTCAAAGGTGGTATGACAAACGGAAGTAAAAATACAAGCTAGACATAGTTCCTATGAATTCGCGCTTCAATGTCTAATATTGCCTAAAATAACAAGTAAAATTCCCTGCAAGGCTCTAGATACATCTGGCCTAAAAATTCCTCCGAATGTAATATTAGCAGATCCATCTATTGATCAGCCAAACTCCATTGATATTCTAATTGGAATTGATAAGTTCTGGGATTTGCTATCCACAGGCCAGATAAAACTGGGTAAAAACCTAACCGTTATCCAAAAAACTCATTTAGGGTGGGTAATATCGGGCCCAATAACAACACATTGCAATTCTTTTAAAGTTTCTTGTAATCCTAACACCTCTGAAACACTGGATGTCACATTAACCAAGTTTTGGGAGCTTGAGGAGAAGTTTTTATCCAGACCCCTATCAATCGAAGATCAAAGGTGCGAAGAGTCGTTCTTGAAAACGACCACTCAAAGGCCTGATGGACATTTTGTGGTACAGTTACCATTCAGACACTCCGAGTCATATTTGGGGCACTCCAAGAAAATTGCGAT